TGAAAATCATAAACAAGTGCACCTTTAGAGCTGGCAGCGCTCTCTTTAACACTTTCAACATTGGTTTCCAACTTAATGTTAGAGCACTCCTGGCTCTCAAAATCTGGACAACCTTCATTCACATTACTTGGGAATTTATTTTCATTACAACTATCTGTAACAATTTGTACATTTGAGCAGGCCTGGCTCACATTTACAGGTGATTCATCATCATTACAACTATCCGTAACAATATGAAAATTTGAGCAGCCCTGGCTCACATTTACAGGTGATTCATCATCATTACAGCTATCCGTAACAATATGAAAATCTGAGCAGCCCTGGCTCACATTTGCAGGTGATTCATTATCATTACAGCTATCCGTAACAATATGAAAATCTGAGCAGCCCTGGCTCACACTACCTATTGATTCATCATCAATACAGCTCTCTGTAATACTATAAAATTTTGAGCAACCCTTGCTCATAACAACTTGTGATACATTTTCATTGCAGATCTCTGCAGTAACATCAAAACCTGAGCACACCTGGCTCACATTATCAACTAATTCATATTCATTACCAGTACATATCTCTGTAAAAATATCAACATTTGAGCAACCTTTGCTCACATTACACAGTGACTCATTTACATCACAATAATTATCAACAACAATTTTCTCTCCTTCCCCCACCTCAGGGATTACACTCACCTCATCAACCTCACACAAAAAATCAGACACTTCAACTTCAGGACTTACATTATCTGATGGCTCACCATGAGATACAACAAAAATCATGTCCTCAGACATTAGAACAGGGTTTTCTTTGATTTCAATGCCGCCCGTTTCCATAACAACCAATTCATTACATGCTGTGGCGCTGGGACAATCCCCTACATATGTCCACCTAAGGTCATTTCCAATGACCTCTACCTTATTAAATTGTCGTCCCCTTTCTTCTTTACATTGGACTTCCTGGGATACACCAACTACTTCAACCTCGTTTTGACATGAATCTAAAGCTATATCTGTACCCTTTGCCACTGGGGGTATGTCAGCACGGTCAACGTTGTCCCTTTTAACGTTAGCCGACGGATCAATTAACAAATCACTGTCATTTCTATTTAAAAAAATTGAGTCGTCAGCAGAGGCAATAATATCATTTTGTTCCTCAGTATCTTTAGCCATGAACCGTGGTTGCGAGGCCGGCTCTTGCCTGGGGTCAGGATCATGAGTATGTCCACCGTTATCCACATATTTGTTTTCACTTACATTAATAGAAACTCTATTAAAATTTTTATAGGGATTCTCACAGTGAATGCTGGCAATGCCATAATATATTTCTTCCCCTTGACTCTCGTCATCGTCACTGTCGCTATAATAATATGCCTGTCTCTTTAAAATAATTTCCCGTCGTTCTGCCTCTAATTCCGCCAGTCTAATTTTTTCATCTAGTTTATCTAGTTCAAATTGTCTCTGACTATGTTTATCTATACGTTCTTCCTCTCTCTGTCTATCTATACGTTCATTCTCTCTCTGTCTACATATACGTTCTTCCTCTCTCTTTCTATCTATACGTTCTTCCTCTCTGGCTCTAAGTTCTTGTTCTTCAAACTTAACTCTTATATACTCCTCTAGGTTCTCTCCGGTATAACAAAGTAACACTCCCACATGCCTAATTTCTTCTAAACTCCATTTCCTACTGACATATCCAGCCATATCAATGCAAATTAAGGGTGATCATACAGTAAACAATAATTAGGTTTAAGTCTGTTTAAACTAACTCTAGCAGAAAGCTAAATTCTACCCAGGTAAAAAAAATGTTAATACATAAGTCATAAGAAAATTAATGCCAAAAATGTTTTAAACAATAAAAATCCAACTTGCCTGGTTCGTGGAAAGTCCTATAGAATTTAAATATTATTCAAAACACACACTGGGCTTAATTAAGTGTCAATGGTTCTTTACTGTCAATAGTTCTCTCACAAACTTCAATTGTCCTATATGGCGATCTTGGGACACAGTCATTGAGGTGTGGGTGTGGGACATCGGCAGCTCACTGGACAGAATGTAGGCGTATCGCCGACACTGGACAGTTCGTGGGTAACTCACCAATACAGGATCGGGCATAGGAAGCTTGATGCGGGGTGGGACGTTGGTGGCTCGTTGCAACAGGACAGGGCGTTGTTAAACTGAGTGACCGGACAGGCCACAGGACTTCACAGCTCACTGGACACGAAGTTGGTAGCTCACTACCGACAGGACGTAGATAACTCGATACAGGGAAATGCGTAGTTCATTCACTGGAACTGAACAGGACGTTGGCAACTTGATAACGGACAGGGCGTAGTTAATTTGTTGTAACTGGACACGACATTGTTAACTTCATACAGGGCAGGACGTAGTTTTTTCACTGGAACTGAACAGGACGTTGGCAACTTTATAACGGGCAGGGCGTAGTTAATTCGCTGTAACTGGACACGACATTGGTAACTTCATACATAGCAGGACGTAATTATTTCACTGGAACTGAACAGTACGTTAGCAACTTGATAACGGGCATGGCGTAGTTAATTTGCTGTAACCGGACACGAGGTTAGTAACTTGATAACGGGCAGGACGTAGTTATTTCACTGGAACTGGACAGGACGTTGGCAACTTGATAACGGGCAGCGGGGCTCCGACATTGAAATACGGGAACATGCGACGATGGTTGTAACTTCACTAAAGTTGAATAATGAGAATGTTCTTGTACTTTACCTCAAGTATGAAAATAACGAGGTTCACCAATCCCGGATGAGAAGCCCCCATGTCAACTCCTAACGTCTTCTTGGATTGATTACATTCGTCAGTTCTTTCATACGTTGAAGCGTCGTACTATTCTCACTATCAATTAACAAACTCAACTCCTTTTCATAATAACTATAACTTTAATATCTAAGTAAATATAATAAACATCCTATCACTCCAAGGTTCCACTCAAGACTGCCGCACGACTACAACATACGTCACAACACTGCATAGACAATACGTCACGACTCAGCATAAAAATACGTCATAAATACAATGGCGGGAAGAGCGTTCACTAACTATAATAGTCAAGCGCGGGAAAAGCGTTCAACAACTAATGAACATAATATTGAGTCGCAACAATTCCTAATGAACGCTCATACTCGACAAAGAGCAGAGACTGGCTACGTCCGGACTAACGCTGAAGTCTAGTTGCATAAGCAGCAAATCAACTACGATATGTAATTCAAATGTACTTATTTTGTTTTCAGCCTAAGTGTTGCATGGTCAAACTATCATGCTTGTGTGTGTTCAAAAACTAACGCATTTATATTGTGATTAGCGTAAACGTACAGTTTAATCCCCCCCCCACCCCCACCCCCACCCCCCGTCATTTTTAAACAAAAAATTTAGCTAGGTCTTCGAAAATAAAACATATCTAAATACTGAATGTTAGTGTTGTTTTTTTGTTTTGCTAAAAGTTTTCAACAAAATTCATTTAACGAAAAGATTTTTTAAAATTTGTTAACGAAAATTGAATAAATCAGGAATATATTACTGTGCATTTTATTCCATTGTTGGTATTGTAAAATAAGTTATTCCAATTTAGTTTTAGCGTAGCAGAGTATAATATTCCAGTTTTGTATTATTGATTAAGAACTTGGATTCCAATCTAGGTTCTTTTAGAACTGATTTTATTATAGTGGAGTAAGTTTTTATTATACTAATGTTGTTATTGTAGAAGCAGTTTTGTTGTTTTTATTAGAGAGGAAGTTGGTTTTTTTTGTTATTGTATAGCATGTTTTTTATTCCAATGTTGGTATTATAGAATAAGAGTAAGCAACAACAACAGTATTTGTATTTTTTATTTTGCAAACATTTTCATATGATATAAACCAACTTGTGAATGATTTCCAGTTAATATAGTCAAATTTCTGAAAAGAAAAAAAAATTGAGTCTTTCTTAATATTAAGTTAAACTTTTGTGTTCAAATTTTATCAATACACTTAAAGGAATATATGAAACCAAAGTCCTAATGAAGAACTGAGTTATATTATACGTTTTTACAAAATAAAGGACATTTGATAGCCATCTTTTGTCCAAAGATATTATATTGTCAACCGAAAGGCATCTTATTGGCGACCGAAAGATATTATATTGGCAGCCCATAGGTATTATATTGGCAGCCCAAGGGTATTATATTGGCAACCGAAAGTTATCTTATTGGCAACCGAAAGGTATTATATTGACATTCCAAAGGTATTATATTGGCAACCAAAAGGCATCTTATTGGCAACCGAAAGGTATTAATTATATTGGCAGCCCAAAGGTATTATATTAACAACCGAAAGACATCTTATTGGCAACCGAAAAGTATTATATTGGCTGCCCAAGGTTTCTCTTTGTTAACATTGCAGCTAAATTTAATTTAAGGATGCGTACTTTAGCTCAACCATTTCTTGGGAAATGTAATCGATACTAATGAAACGAACTTGGAGTGCCTTAAAGAGCTGGCAAATAAGATTGTATAATCTACAGACAAAGCAAGACTATGATGTCTACGCCTTTTATACGCTTATTGTTCATTCAATAAATAGTTCTATTTAAAACTATTGGTAATTTTTTTTTTTTTGTTATCGACAAAAGAATATAAAATAAAAACTTCCTCTATCCCCAGATCTTGTTCCCCTAACAAAATGTAGCTTACAGTATCATGGTGACACAAATCTTTGTCTCCCTGGGTCTTCTTCTTCTTCTATATCTTAAGGGCCCACGATCAATTAATTGATCATTTTGGCTCCTATGCATGTAGATGGGATTTGCAATGGGTCTGCCACGTTGGCTTAATAATATGGCATTTACTTACACAAATCTTTGTCTCCCTGGGTCTTCTTCTTCTTCTTCTATATCTTAAGGGCCCACGATCAATTTATTGATCATTTTGGCTCCTATGCATGTAGATGGGATTTGCAATGGGTCTGCCACGTTGGTTAATAATATGGCATTTACTTACCAGACGGCTACACAAGTGTGGGTTGTGCTGTCGCAATGGTAGTTGTCAGGGCAGGCGATTGTGCTTGGCATACCCGTCATGAACAGGTAGAGACATGTGTCACCTGGTTCTGTCAGTGGAATATAGAAGTGTATCAGAATTAAAACTGTGGTCCATTGTGAGAAGTCTATTTGACTATAAGTAGAATGCGTTGTCTGTCGGTTAAAAGATAGATGATGTATGTTGTCGAATAAGGTCAGGCTAAGTACATTGTCGAGTCATGACATGTCAGGTATTTTGTGAGTCAAAGTTAGGTTCAGTACCTTGTCGGTGAAATAGGTAGTTGAGCCAGTACAGGTGAGGTACATTGTCAAGTTGAGAACCGTTGAGACTTGAGTCGGTAGTCAGAAACACAATAATAGAATACTGAGTTGTTTATTCTACGGGAACTCACGGAGGGAATGTGACCATTCAATGGATCCCGGGACGCGCTGGAATCCCCCCACAAGTCCAAGCTGACTGGCTTGCGAAACAAGGCTCATCCCAACTCCAACCTGACAGGCCAATGACCCAACTGGGGGTCAAAGCCTGGATTAAGGACCTCTTCCAGGAGGAATGGAGAAAAGAATGGGAACAGGGTACCACTGCCCGAAAGCTTTACCGGAACATGCCTAAAACTAACCGCAAGGGCGATCAATGGTGGAGTCTTAAACGCCACTACGGGACCCGAGCTGCCGCCATTGTGGACAGGCACCGGAAACAGTAGAGCACCTTCTAGCCGGGTGCCCGACATTAGCGACTGGCGTGACTGGGGTTCTCCCAGCCAACCACGCCGAGAGCCTGTTATACGGGTCTGCCCAGCAGATGAGGCAGGCCTGTTCCATACTTGCCGGGGCCATTAAAGAGCAATAGCTCGGTCCCATACAGTGAATGAAATATTTTACGTGAAAGTGATTAAATATGGGCCATAATTTTTATGATTTTCTTTTCTTTATTTTTTAAATGTTTTTTGGGGGGAGGTATAATAAAGAATCCAGTGAGTATGACAGTGTGTGGTTTTTGTTGTGGCAGGATGTAGCCATGTTATGTCTGTCACCCTCCATCAACAGATGAAGTATATACCCCATAATGTCTGCCACACTCCATTATCAAATCAAATAAGTTCAAATGTGTATGAAAAGCAAAAAGGCCTTGAATTAAATAACTTGATTTAAATAGCAACACAAAGGACAGTAAATGCCCTCTAAAATCTTATTAAGATTTTATTTTTTGTATATTAGTTGGGTAATGGCTTTCTTATTAGCTAATTGTGTCTAAATCCTGGAACTTTTCTCAAATCAGTTTACGGGATAATAGGTAATCACATGTTTGTCTGATATGTATTTAAGCTGTTTCCATCATTGTATAAATCTAGAGGGAGAGAGTGAGTGAGAGAGAAAGTGAGTGAGTGGCAGGTCGAGAGAGAGAGAGGTTGAGAGAGAGGAAGAGGGAGAAAGGTCGGGAGAGAGAGAGAGAGATGTCGAGAGAGGGAAAGAGAGGGAAAGAGAGGACGAGAGAGAGAAAGAATTCGAGAGATAGAGTGAGAGAGATGGGGTCAAGAGAGAGAGAGAGATCGAGAGAGAGAGAGGGGTTTAGAGAGAGAGAGAGCGAGAGAGAGAGCGAGAGAGAGAGAGAGATAGAGAAGGGGAGGGTGGAATTTAAAAAAAAAAGAATATTTTCCGTACATACATAATAAAACAAAGAACTAAGCGAAATAAATCCAACTTACTGAGGACTGTCACACACAAATCACAGCACCCACAAAAACCGCCATTTTTCACAACTTTCCCGTTACAGTTGGTGATAGGTGCGCAATCTGCAAGCTCACAAATATTTGCAACACAAGTGATGGCGTCGGATGTTGTACAGAAAGCCGCGAGCAGGGCAAGCATTGACCAGACTATCATTTTCATGTTTGAAGTACTGAGGCGAAAAAATAAAGTTTTTATAAGATGAAAAAAACTGATTCACACACACGTACACACAAGTATTTCTGGCTTAACACAAAGTGAAATCAAATATACTACACATTTGCCGAAATTGAGATTTTCTGGAAAATGTATAATACATAGTTGAATAAAAAAATTTTCCCCTGCATAAAGGAATACTCTATTTTTATATATTTTAAAGAATGTTACAATTTATTTAAAAGTCCCAAATTTTAAAAAATAGCTTTAGGGCCCTAATTTTTAAAAAAATTGTTTGTAAATTAAAATTAAATGCATGCAAGTTTACTTTATTATTTAAATTTAAAAGTCCTTTAGAAAAATTGTAATGAAAAAATACTCACTTAATCGGCGTACTTTGCTTGGAGAAATGTTCTTTGTGTTCTATCGATGAGTTAGGCCTACGTAACGCTTTATAGGTTAGTTTGAATAAACGCATCTCAGGTCATGCAATGAACGATAAGAAGAGATAAGGCAAATAAGCAGCATCTAAAAATAACTTTTATAAAAAGTGTTCAATAAAATTTTGCTTACGTTGTGCTGATCGACGAGATAGGGGTTAGAAAGTAATCACACAGGTTACGTGGAGGCTCACTCAAAATATAAAGCAAAAAACAATAACACTGACGCAAATTATGTGAAAGAAGTAGCGTCATAACGCGACACATTACAGCATGTGTTGACACAAAAGTGACCTAATTGTGTTATGTCCTTAAGCGGTTTGTGCGCCTAATCGTTTTACTTGACATACTTGAGGCGCAGAGCCATTTTGTCTCTTTTCTATTCCTTGAGGCTTGTTGAGGCGCAGAGCCATTTTGTCTCTTTTCTATTCAGTGAGGCTTGTTGAGGCGCAGAGCCATTTTGTCTCTTTTCTATTCCTTGAGGCTTGTTGAGGCGCAGAGCCATTTTGTCTCTTTTCTATTCTGTGAGGCTTGTTGAGGCGCAGAGCCATTTTGTCTCTTTTCTATTCCTTGAGGCTTGAACTCCGCGTCTCGGTAAAACAGAGAAAAGATAAGAGTGAGGCTTGTTGAGGCGCAGAGCCATTTTGTCTCTTTTCTATTCTGTGAGGCTTGTTGAGGCGCAGAGCCATTTTGTCTCTTTTCTATTCTGTGAGGCTTGTTGAGGCGCAGAGCCATTTTGTCTCTTTTCTATTCTGTGAGGCTTGTTGAGGCGCAGAGCCATTTTGTCTCTTTTCTATTCAGTGAGGCTTGTGATAAAAATTTTAAAAAAAACCCACCCAAAAACCCTGTTTTCACAAGCTTGGTTCATACCAATCGCGCATTGAAACAGATAATTAAGACAAGGGCTCAACCGGATGCGTTTTTTTTCTATACAGGGTCTGGGTAAAAACCTGCTTGGTCCATGTGTCCAAATAAAAAAAAAAAAAAGTTAACAACTCATTTTCTATAATATGAAACAAAATCAACTGCCCCATATTATAGTTAGAGTGCATTGTCTCCGTCAACCGTTTCTGTCAAGAGATAATCCACTGATAGGAACAGGCAGTTGCCGTTTCCCGGGATAGAGATGACGTACTAAAAATTCCCGTCCACATAGAACATAATGTAGTTCATTTACGTGAAAAAGGCGGGTACATTTTTTTTTAAAAAATTCCTTCCTAAGGAAAAAAAAAATCAAACTATTTACCTAAATTCCGAAGTTACGCATGATTCTCGCCGAGTGACAGAAGAAGCGAACAGTAACAACACTGAATGATTGTCGCGTCTGCCTGAGGGAAAGACAAAATTATCATGTCTATTTACCTGAGTTCTGACGTCATACATGAAGCTTGCTGCGTCCTAACCTTTCTTTTTTCTATTCAATACTAGTCAAATAAAACATGTCCAGCTTTTCTTTGATTGTTGTTGTTTTTTAGTGGGCTGGGTGGTTTGAAAGAGGAAGCAGGACGCACCAGAAGCAAACTATTTCTATTCTAATACTAAATAGAGACATTATCTCCCCACGTAAATACGTAATAAGATCCATTGTAGGCACCGCCATCTCAATAATTGGGTATTTTGGTGTGGTGATATGACTTATGTTTTACTAGTGAGATCTCCACTTGGCACTATGTCTAGGGTTTCGTTAATTAAGCCAAATTACCACACAGACATAATAACCTATCTATATACATGTAGACTGAAACTAAGTCTTTGTTAAAGGAGAAAATAATTACAAGTATTTATTGAATAAGGGTATTTACAATTACCTACGTAGTAAACGCTTGGTGATTACTATGTATACCAAATGGATGTCATACAATCATAAATGTATATCAATGAGATGCAAGTGTCCCTAAAATACTTACATTGATATCATTATTAATGCTATATTGCTCAAGGGTTTATGTTCAATCTTTGCGGACTTAGCCTTCACTGATGATCTCGGTGGATCACAAAGCGTGGGAGTTCCTTCTGTTCCAGAACCGTGCTCCCTCTTCCGATCATCGGAGCTGTTCCAAGCGTAGCGAAGTCGGAGTTCTTGGTCGTAGAATCCGTGGGATCTCTGCGATGGGGAAGATGACTCTCCAGCGATAAATCGTAGGTGGTAAGAGTCCCTGGATCTCGAGGTCCTTCTAGTAGCCGTAGATAGTTTGGTGTAGGACGTAAATCAATCCCCTAGTTCCAGCTTCAATCATAACTTACAAGTATTTTGACATTTTGAATTGAAGGAGCGAAAAAAACTGCGTCAAAATTGTTGTTTACTCTGAGTTCCTTTAACAGTATAAAAGCAATAAATATCAAATTGTTTCTCTAAACATTTAGCTTGCTGTATTATTGTGATCCTAACCTTTGTCTTCTCTGGGTCTGACACTTTGGCTTAAAGACACTAGACGGCTACACATTTGTTGGTTACGCTGTCACAATGATAGTTGTCAGGGCAGCTGACTGTGCTTGTCTTACCAGTCATAAACAGGTAGTGACATTTGTCACCTGGCTCTGTCAATGGAATATAAAATTATATTAGTATTACAACTGTGACCCTTTGTGAGAAGCAAGGACAGTGCATATGAAGGAAGTCTGTCTGTTAAGGGTCAGATGAAGTAAATTATCAAATATTGTCAGTCTAAGTACATTGTTGGCTCAAGGTCAATCTAAGTACATTGTCGCGTCATAACAGGTGAGGTAGTTAGTGAGTCAAGGTCAGGCTAAGTACATTGTCGGGTCAAGGTCAATCTAAGTACATTGTCGAGTCATAACAGGTGAGGTAGTTAGTGCGTCAAGGTCAGGCTAAGTACATTGTCGAATCAAGTCAGTCTATGTACATTGCCGAGTCAAAGTCAGTCTAATTACAGTGTCGAGTCATGACTGGTGCAGTATTTAATGAGTCAAGTTCAGGCTAAATTGGTTGTCGAGTCAAAAGCAGGTGAGATAGGTTTTGAGTAAGGACAGTTGAACATTGTCAAGTTGAGAATCGTTGAGAAGTTGAGTCGGTTGTCAGAAACACAATAATAGTGCACTGGGGTGTTTATGTCACAGGACAGTGATTAAAAAGCGGCTAGAATAGATAAAGAGAGAAAGAGGTAAAGAGACAGAGAGAGAGAAAGAGATAGATAGATAGAGAGAGAGAGAGAGAGAGAGAGAGAGAGAGAGAAAGAGAGAGAAAGAGAGATTAATTTTTTAAAATTAAACAAAAATGCCCATACGTACATAATAAAATTAAGTACCAACCGACATAAATCCAACTTACTGAGGATTGTCACACACAAATCACAGCACCCACAATGGCCGGCCGGCATTTGTCACAACCTTGCCGTCACATTTGGTGATGGGTTCACACTCGATGCGGCCACAAAGCCTTGTAACACAAAAGCCAGCACCGGTCGTGGTAAAGAAGGCCGTGAACATGGCCAGCGTGGACAAAACTGTCATTGTCATGTTTGAGTACTAAGAGGAGAGACGATGTTGTTGTTGTTGTTGTAGTTGTAGTTTTAAATGAAAAAAACCTGGTGAACAAGCAAGCACCCATAACTCTTGCTTCAGACAAATTGACATTTAATTATCAACGCATTTTCCCAAATGGTGATTTTTTAAACAAAAAAAATATATTAATTATTATACATTTGAATGACGATATTCTTTAATGCATAAATTATAAAGGAATGCTTTATTTTCATATACAATTATCTTAAAATATTTTAAACTCCATTTAAAATTCCTGAATATAAAAAAATAAAGCTTTAATAGAAGAAAAATCATTATTTTAAAATGTTTTTTTTTAATTAAAATGTTAAGGATGAATTTTCACTTCATTTTTTAACTTTAAAAGCTCTTCAAAAAAAAGTTTTAATGAAGCGAACACTTACTGACTCGGCGCACTTCGCTCGGAGAAATGTTATTTGAAGTTTGACCATGAGTTAGACCCACGTCAAGTGTTACCGGTCAGTTTGAATAAACCTGTCCCGGGTCACGCAAGGAACGCTATGAAGAGAAAAAATGTAATAAGCAGCATCTAAAAATAACTTTTATAATTGGGGTGATCAATTTGCTTACGTTGTGGCTAATCGATGAGATGGGGGTTAGTATGTAATCACGCGGCTGACGAGGGGCTGACTAAAAAAAAAAAAAAAAAAAAAAAAAAAAAAACAAGAAACCACAGTATTGAGCTGACGCACATTATGTGAAAACACAAGAGTCATAACTCGACACATGAAAACATGTCTTGAGGCGGTTTTCGGACATAATTTTGACATGTCCTTAAATCGGTTGTGCGCTAAATCGTTATATCTAGAAGTCACGAGTGCTGACCACTTTTTGTCAATTTTCTATTGAATGAGGCTTGAGATTGAAATTTAAATATATATATATATATATATTTAAAAGCTAATGTCAGTCGGGCATTGAAACAGGTATTTAAGGCTAATGCTTAAACCGGGAGCAGTTTGATTTGTTTTTAAACAGGATCCGGGTAGTTTGAAAAAATACCCTCTGGGTGCAAGTGTTATTTTTTTTATTTTTTAAAAAGGGTTACCTTTACATTTTCTATAATATGATACGAGAATCAACTGCCCTGTGTCGTAATGAGAGTGCAAGCTTTTGTGTACAGAAATAACCGGCTGATAGGAATTGGAAGTTGGAGAAAAAAAAAATCGAAATATTTACCCGAGTTCAGACGTCATGCATGAAACTCCCTGCCACGTGACAGCCTTATTTTGTACTCAGTACTATTGATATCAAACAAGGGATTTTTAAATTATTTTTTTTGGTGGGGGCGGTTTTGAATTGAAAGCAGGACGCACCAGAAGCAAATATATTTAAGAGATAGTTACTTGATGGAGACATCTTACTAGCTACATAAATAGGTAATAAGATCCAGAGTAGGCAGCGCTATCACAGTTATTGGGAATGATGGCCATCATTTCAATTGCTATGTATTTGGTGAGTTTAAAATTCTCTCCTGAATCCACGCCCCTGGCACATAAATTGACATAAAAACACATTAAGGTCAAGGTTACAATGGTGACATGTAGTTTTTTCAAATAAGAAAAAAAGAAAAAACTATTTTTTTATATTAAATTAACTCTCGCCACTTTTTTTATCAGTGAGTTTCAAATTAAAACGAGTACAAACTTGGCGTTAATAATAGGAGCTCCAACGAGGACTTAATCATTGTTCCAGATTTTCCCTTCAGCTCATATAAAATATATTTTGGTTCTCGCGATCAACATCCTATCGAGATAATAAACTTTATTATTTACTTTTAAGTAAACCTCAAAATTCCGCCCATAGTTCAAATTTGCGAACGATAATACACTTCTGAAGGTTTCAGGTTGTAAGTAAACATTTACTACAAGTCGAGCCTGTTAAAAAAAAAATACTGAGATTTCTTGGATGGCTGGCATTGTTGGATAATTTGTTGGTTGTAATTGTAAAATTTGAAAAGAGTCTTACTTCAATTTTTTTTTTCCCGATAAGACCCTTAAGATAGTTTTTTTTTTAAATAAATGACAAGCTCGGGCGACTAGTTAGCTTTGCTGAATCCACGCCCTTAGTCAGGGTATACAAAAACATATAAAGAGCTTTAGGGTAATGCTGAGTTTGAGGCGACTGCTAATCATATGCGTGCTGTATTTCTCGTGTAATTATGTGCTGTGCCGCCAAGGTCTTGTTGTTAATAATAGCATTTGGATGTGTGGTGTCTCCATTTTGAAAACACAGACTAAGCGAACATTTTATTATTATTTTTTTTTTTGGGGGGGGGGGGGGGGGGGTGAGGTTCTCCTTCTTCATTTGTTGTTGTGTTTGCTTTCTGTTTGTTTCAACGAATAAAATTTAAATTTTTCTTTCCCCAGGAAGCGCGTTATAGCACAATATATTTTGTTGTTTCGACACAAATTTGCCAATGACTGTTTCTCCTTTTTGCTATCGATTGATCTACGTGACTAGGGTAGGCGGATTCAGTCAGTGTTTTGACTTACAACAAACATTACATATTTAAGCTTTAACCTTGGCGATGGCTAACACATTACTGCACATTACTATGTTACTTAAAGCAAAATATTTGAGCCAAAAAAACGCATATATTTAAATGTATTATATATATAAATAAGCAATAACAAGAATGTCAAAACTGTTGTTATTTTTTTTTTAAACTTTATTTTTGAACGTGATCGTAGGATCTTTGTCATCTTTTGATTGGGTTCTTCTTGAAAATTGTCAAATTTCTGGAAGTAAAAGAAAATGCAATTCCCAATATGGGGAGAAAACACCACAATATATATGAACACATTTAAACAAAATAATAAACTTGAGTTCCTGTTACAATGCCATATCTTTCTTAACCAAATACAAATAACGTTAAAGTAAATACAAAGGACAATAGTGGACTCGTCCCATAGGTTTATTTTGGAATATTTGTTAAGAAAGAAATTATGAACAATTTGGCTTTTTCTTCACATTTATAAAGTGGCTGATTTATAACTCACTCACTTTATCCGCCCTCTCCCCCCCCCACCCCCTCAATCAGCACTGAATTAAATCCTGTTAATGCCCTAAGGAGGGGGGGGTGAAATTAAGGGGGCCCCTCTTTTAAATATATCCGATAATGAAGATCATTTCATATACATCCCTTTAGCGTTCGCATCTTACAAAGCTACAATGCAAATTTGCAAACATTTTTTGACGCTCAAATGTTTTAAATATATGAAAACAACGGTAAAAATACAATGGAGTCATATAGCTGAATTCATATTTTAGACGTGAAACTAACAGGTCCTGAGACCGTGACATGACACGCGAACCATTTCGACAAGGATCCTAAAAGTGTGTCCTATCCCAGTGATAAATTTAACTAACAGGATGTCTCTTCCATTGATGAAAGGTTTCCACGATAGCCATGATTCAACTATCGTGAGATAAATTTCTTCTATTTTATTCATCAACACCACACACACACCTTCGGCTAAAATTATTTTTAAAAGGTTTCACGTGTAACATAGAAAAAAAAAACACACAACGTTTTCTCTATGTTAAAAAACGGTAGGGAAATATCGTATCAGATATAGTTCATGATAAAACACTCGATTTGCAAGTGGGTCTGGCTTCCAAGTTTCGTTGATGCACCACCACGCAGAACCACACGCAGAACCACGCAGAACCACGCAGAACCACGCAGAACCACGCAGAACTACGCAGAACCACGCAGAACCACACGCAGAACCACGCAGAACCTCGCAGAACTACGCAGAACCACGCAGAAGGCTGACCGAGGGCAAAAATTGTGTGTTGTAATTATATTACATCCCAAATTTTCTCTAGAATTCGTTCTGCCGTTGAAAGGTTTAACGGGCGACTCTGCCGTTGAAAGGTTTAACGGGCGACTCTGCCGTTGAAAGTGTTGTCTCTTTTCAAGCTTTCATTGCAACCCGCACTTGTTATTTCCTGTCATCCACGCTGTCATCGCAAGACGGTAATCGTCGCTCAACAGTCATCATTTGATGATACCTTTAAACAAAAATGTTCGACTTGCCTTCTTACTCTTCCCCCCCAATCCCCACCACACCCCCTTCTATAACTTATTCTGTTAGGAAATTTAAACGAGATGTCGATTAAAACCTAACATATAACTACACATATGTTCCACGTCTGATCAATAAATGCACGTGGATCTGTTGTCGTGGGGCCCCTAACAGTCGCGAGTTTTTTAAATGCAAAATAAATGTATCTCCTGCTTACAAGTCTGTATATTATACAAAAGTAAAAAAAAAAAATAAATACATTAAATGGCACAGTTTTTAGTCCAACAGAAATCATTTAACAACGGGCACTTTTAAAAAATGTATTCGTCACACCAAAAAATCATATTTTCTCGTCATACTAAAAAAATCATATGTTTTCATCATACAAAAATCATATTTTTTCATCATACAAAAATCATATGTTTTCGTCATACTAAATAAAGCTACTAAAAATCATGTTTTCTTCATACTAAACAATCATATGTTTTTGTCATACTAAAAAATCATATGTTTTCGTCATACTGAATAAAGCTACATGGTATTTATATAATTTAATTATTGGTATCAAAGTGGTACTTGTGTCCTGTTTTCTTCTTGTTGTTTTTGTTGTTGTGGTTACTATAAGGTTGGTTAAGAATACCCGCTTACCAGCCGGCCACACACGTGCCGGTTAAATCGCCACAGTGGTAATTGACAGGGCAGACAAACTTATTGGAACCCGCCATGTACGTGCCGTAGCACGCGTCGCCTGGCTCTGTCGATGGAATAATACATAGATGACAGCAGTTTACCTCCGTGAGGAGGGGGAGTCAATATCAAGGAAAGGGTGTAAGTACGTTGTCTAGTCATAGTACAGGTGTGGTGCGTTGTTAAGTCAGATAAAGGTGAGCTACATAGTTAAGTCAAGTACAGGTGTGGTACGTTAAGTCAAATACAGGTGTGGTGCATTGTTAACTCAAGTACATCTGAGTTAGTGAAGTACAGTCGAGGTTATTTAGTGAAGGACAGGTTAAATACGGTGTCAAACGAAGGAAGGCAAATGTACGTTGTCAAGGACAATAAAGGTGCGTTGTCAAGGACAATAAAGGTGCGTTGTCAAGGACAATAAAGGTGCGTTGTCGAGGAAATAAAGGTGCGTTGTCAAGGACAGTAAGGGTAAGTTGTCGAGTACAATAAAGGTACGTGGTCAAGGGCAATAAAGTTAAGTGGTCAAGGATATTAAAGGTATCTTTGACAAGGACAATAAAGGCATGTTGTCAAGATCGGTGAGGTATATTGTCAAAGGTACTCATAAACAGCCGAGACAGTGTCAAGGCCATGAAAGATATAAAGTCTTTAGCCCTAAAATCGTAAAGCGTGTCAATGGGTGTCCCCATTTCTTTTCAAGCTTCCACATACCCTTGTACAATTATTTCCGGCTCATGGCTTTAAACTTGAAACACGTTCCCTT